ACACAGCAAGACCTTCTACATGCTTCGGGCTGGGCATGATGGCTAGCACGTCATTCAATGCCCACTTGTGCTTGCTGCTTCAAGAAGGAAATCGTGCATCGGTACTTGGGCCTTCACACATTCGCTAAGCCTTTGCATTGTTGGATCAACTCCAACTGCGAAAAGGTCGTCAACATGGCACAGACCCCCGCCTCCCCCGACATAGCCCTCATCTGAACTCCCAGGAATGAAGAACAGGGCTGGAGCTTCTACAAGCGGTTCAATGGCCAGCTTCTCTATCAAGTGTGACTGGAATGCTTCAAACCAGTCCTTGGCACCTGAACGCTGACCTGGAAGGTTTCTAAGGAGCCTATAGTGCCTTGCTCATCTCGCACCCAAATGGATACTACGGTGTCCACGGCTTGCGGAACCGTGAGGTAGGCATCTGCGACATCTAAGGATAGCTGGCTGCCGCGCGACAAGTGCAGCCGGCAGGACTCGTAGCAGCGCATTAGACGAGGCAGGTGCAAACACCTCGTTGTCGACCATGGCACTGAGCCACCTGAACTCTCTGGCTACAAAACGGGCCCGCCTCTCCGTCTCCGCGTGGAGATGGTTTTATTCTCCACGTTTTGACCATCTTGGTGCTGAGGCTTCCTCCTGTGAGCGGTCTCCCCGACGTGGCGTCGGCATGGCTCTTCGTTGACCGGCCCAATCTGGACGAGAGCTCCGAAGTAAGCTTGCTGGCGAGCGCTGAGAATGCTACCATCTCCAGCTTGCAGGTGTCAAAGGGTTCGAAACAGGCACGAACCGATCGCTCAGCCGGGAACACACAAGATCACGGACAGCGTTGTGTCTCAGAGTCCGTTCGCCGCCAGCCACACACATGCCAGCGTGGTAGCCCCAGCAGTCCAAGACCCCGTCGCAGCGAGGACACCAGCAATCATCAGTGGCTTCGGGCACCTCCAGGCGGATTCGCAACTCGGCAATGAAGGCGGCAGGCTCCATGCGCGCCCCCAACCCCGCTTCAGAGTGAAGGGCAGCCCGAGCGACGTGGCTGCTGTGTTCAAGCTGGGCAGCGAAGCAGGTGGAGTCCAAAAGCTGAGACATGTCGCGTTGCTTGCTTTGAAAAGCAGCAAGCGTAGCAACCCGACTGCCCACGGCGTTCTGGAACAGGTGGAAAGCCCCGACCACATGGTTCGAGGTTTGAACGGCCTCCTTTGAGAAGTTGGGGTCGAGGTCACTGGTGCTGAGGCGTTTGTAACCGCTGAAGTTAGCTGTGGCAGGCAGCCTTTCAAGAACACACATGGCTTCGAGTCGGGCTAACTCGAATGCTTCAGCCACACCGTCAATGCGGGCCAATTCTTCACTCGAGAGGCCCCAAACGGCCTCCACAACTCCTCAGGGATGTTTCCTGCATCCTCAAAGTTGTCGGATGCATTCCAAGCGGGTGGATCCTCAACTGACTCGCTGAGATCAGCATCTGAGCCAAGTTCTAGGTCCTCAAGGTGAACAACCTGGTCGTTGTGGTGATGGGCATTCACTGCACGGATCCTCTGACGCTTGGACTCCTGACTATCCTCCCCAATTTCAGCCCTTTCATGAACCTGTTCAAGTTCAGCCATGGCACTGTCTAAACCATCTAGCTCACCTGTTGGTTGACCTGGGTTAAGGCCTAAACCCAAACTAGGGTTCGGGGTCCGTGCAGGCGATGGCATGGGATCTCCTATCGCCAAAGCACTCTCGGGAGGTGCGCGTGATGGCAGTCTAGAAGGTTGCGACGGTTCCTGCGCAGGTTGTAGATTAGGCCGGCAAGCCTGGCCGCGAGCACACGATGTGCTTCGGCATGTTGCTGTTGCTCGTGCATGGGCCGAGCCACACACAGTGAGAAGCAGCGAGGACGATTGAAAGCACTCACAGCAGTCAGGATCTACAGAAAGTGCATCGGGGTACGCCCAGTTTGGCATAAAGACACTAAGCAGCATGCGTGGGAAGCTAAACGAAGGGGCATGGCGATGCCTCAGGCATCTGGTGAACTATATGTTCTTCCATGAGAATCACGTCGCTTGCCTTCGGACTGAGGGTACAGGCATTGGCCTAGTCGTCCGTGATGACACTCACACTTTAGAGGTGTTCGCTGATGCTGATTGGTCAGGGAACCGATCGACAAGAAAGAGCACCAGTGCAGGATGCATTGCCTTTGACGGCGTGGTTGTTCACACGTTTTCAAGAAGCCAAAGCTGCGTAAGCCTAAGCAGTGGTGACAGTGAATATATTGCATGCGTGAGCGCAACATGCGACGGCATCTTCCTTCTTAGTGCCCTTCAACACATCTTACGCACTGATGTGTCCGTGCATTTGTTCACCAATTCGAGTGCAGCTCACGGCATTATGGGCGGATGTGGACGTTTCCGTCACATTTCTGGTCGCCGTTATGGCTACAGGACTTCCCACTGTTCAAATGGAAGAAAGCATCGCTCCACGCGGTGCCGACCTTGACAAATCCGCTTCCTTCACGCGTGCGTGATTGTGCTTTATCGTTAGCTTAAACGAATGCGGGCAACGTTTGCCTAACAAGTTGTTAAGTCGGGAGACGGGGGAAACGTTAGCCCCACGCAGTCGTTTGAAGCTCGAAGCGTAGCTTCCTGTTTTTCTGTAGCGTAGTGTGGCGTAGTGTGGCCTTAGCTTTTGCGTGCCATGGGTCCCAAGAAGGTGGAAGCCGGTGTGGAGGCAGACGCAGCGTCTGCGTCAGCGTCTGCGTCAGATGCACAGACACCCGGGGCGGCGTCCGCCCCGGCTTATATACCTCTCCCGGAGCACCCTTTCCATGTATCACTCGAGATGCTCCCATGCGTCGTGGGAGCCAGGAGACCCCGTATCGCTACGCCCGTCGGTGCTCAACCCTGGCACCGTACCCGTGGGCGGCCGCGGGTAGTACCGCGCCGGCGAACGTTTCGTCGGAAATCCAAGAGGCCCGTGCCGCCTTACGCTTCTTGAAAGATGTGGAGCAAGACGTTCTTGTGCAGGCCATGCGTGAAGAGCTGAGTAATAGCAATTTGTGCTATTTCCAGCACTGCTTCGCAACGATGTGGGACGACTCCCACGATGAGTCCTCGGAGAGTGACCTGGACGTTCCAGGGTTCCCTTCCCAGCGCGTCGCTGAGACCTCCGACGTTACGGAGGGGACGTCCGAGACGCAAACGGCCGTGCCGGCGGAGACAGCTCTCACGGAGCAGGCCGTGCCTGAGGAGGAGCCGGCCCCAGAGCAGCCCGGTCGCGTGGACCAGGGGAGCCTGCTCCTTCTTTGTTGGACCAACTCGCCCTGACCGGAACGGTGTGGGTGTGGCCATCCAATCCGTATGATGACGAATGGCGCAGCCACCCAGATCTCGTAGATCTGAGGTTCCCGCAGAACCGGACGTTACCGGCGACAGTTCCGTCGATGGGCTCGTGGCCCTATTATCGGAACCAATACAGGTTGGCCAAGCATCCCGAGCTGCACGGCTCCCTGGCGTGCCAGTTCCCGCGCCCCGCGTGCCGCAACGTTTGCGGGCGGGATGAGCAGCCCTTCCGGCGCAAGTGTCACGGCCGCCACGAGTGTGACAATTGTCACCGCCGCAGTGGCCCCGTGAACGCCAGACCCAACCGACACGGTCGTATGCGTGAGGGGCGTCGCTGAGGCCGTGCCCTGGACTGGCAGACGTCTGCCTCACTTTTGTGTCGGGACTTGCTTGTTGGGGCCGTGCCCTTAGTTTTTGAGTGTACACTAAGTGGTGTAGGCTAGTGCCGAGTGCCACCGTTTACAAGGGCCCGCGAGGTGCGGAAAACCCGTTTCGGAGCGGAGTGCTCTCCAAGCGAAGTGCTTGAGCGACGTGCTCGTAGGGGGACGTTCCCCGTTTCGGCGGAGTGCCGGTTAACTCGTAGGGGGGCGTTCCCCGTTGCGGCGGAGTGCCGGTTAACTCGGAGGAAGGGTCCTCGCGTGTGTCGGCGGAGTGCCGTGCCCACTCGGGACGAGGTGTCCTCGTGTGTGCGTCGCAGGATGTTCCCTGCTGTTCGGCGAAGGGCCCCTTGAACTTTGGACGAAGTGTCCTCGCGTAGTCCCTGCTGTGGCGAAGTGCCGGTTGATGTTGGACGAGGTGTCCTCGCGTAGAGCGTCGGCGTTGTCGCGTAGTGAGTTCCAGGGTCGTCCCTGCTTTTGGCGAAGTGCCGGGTGGATATGGGACGAGGTGTCCTAGCGTAGTGAGTCCACGTCGGTAGCTTCTCAAGCTTGCAGTGTAGCAGCGTAGCTTAAAGCCCTCAGTTTGTTTGTTTGTGCCTGCCATGTCGGACAAGAGCAACATGACCTTCGACGAGGCCACGTTGGCCCGCCTCCGTGATGAGGCTGAGTCCTCCCTTGGGGAAGGCGGTGCAGCTTTCGCCACCGATGTAATCGAGGTGGCCGTGGCCGCAGGTTGGACGCGTCGGGGACCTCGGTCGTACCGGTAGCAACCCTTTTGCGGCCATCCTCTTAGGGTTGGAGCCGCCTTTCCCCAGCTTGCCTTCCCCCGCGTCGGGGGCGGTTCAAGCGGCTCCTGTGCCGGAGGACGTTCCTCCGCCGGAGTCTCCCAGGAGAGAGAGGTCGTCCCGGCCTCAGATTCGCAACCAGCCCCTGCGTCGGACATTCCCGACCAGGCTGTCAAAGAGGAAGCGTCTTCCTCGGAAGATGATTCGGATGGCACTGAGCCTGCGGACCCTCCGGCCGCGCCTTCCGACGTTCGGAGAGAGGCCGCTGCTGCTGCAGCGCGTGGCCCGGGCCGCGCCCTGTCTAAGCGCCGTGCGCGTAGCAGTAAGCGCGAGCAGTCTAGCCCCTCGTATGAGTACACGTCCGGGAGCTACAGCTATGAAGACCAGCAGGATGCGCGGGCTGTGCCCCCACCTGCTCACAACAAGCGCGACGACCGCGCCAGACCTGCTCGTAAGCAGCCGCGTGTCTTCGTGGACGCCCGCCGTCGCGGCCCGTCACGTGGTCTTCCCGATGGGGGTCAGGCCGTGCCTCCTACACCCCCCGCGGCTCCTTGAGCACAATGCCCTACAGGCGGGTCTGGGTCAGGGGATCCTTGCAACTCTTGCGCCCGGAGGGTCCACTTTCGAAGCACCTCTGTGCGACGACGAGCGACGGACGCATAGCTTTGCGACGCACAAGTCTGCACAGTCGAATGCAGTTCTGGTGGGATGCCGGACAACATGTGACGCGGGTGGCGGGCTTGGCACGCCTGCAACACAAATTCTTCAGGTGTCTTAGGAACGGAAAAGACCATCTCTCGAACGAGCTCAGACCCACCCCCAAGAAGAACTGAGCGAAGGCACTTGCTGCCAGCTGGCAGGCCGGGCATGGCAGGGTTGGATTGGAGGTCGGCAGGCAAAGTAAAGTACGAGTCCAGCACACCAGTGGGAGGCATGCTGACACCCGGACCTCGCAAAGTGACGACACCTCGTCTCGACGGAACCAGTGGAGGGATCCGTTTGCCCTTCGGCTGCTTGCCGGAGGCGACCTGAGCTGCACGGCTGAGGGTAATGTCGTCTAGTTCGGCTGAGCGTGCAGACAGCCGAACCACGTGTTGCACACAACCCAAGGCAGTGAAGCAATCTGCGAAGGACAGCGCTAAACCTTTGCACAAGCCACTCGGGTATGCCGAGACAGGGCCGTCAGGGCAGTGATCCCAAGGCGCATGGGAGTGTTGGTCGTCACATAAAAGGCATAGTCGGCGGACCTGTGGAAAATTGTGATAAAGAACAGAATGCTTGCGATGTGAACTTCCGAACATGCACTGGTGCAGAGTGGTTTTATGGAAACCTAGGCTCTGGCAAGCCTTCAACACGGGTCCAGACCACACCGGGCTGGACGCGGCGTTTTCCACACTGACCAGCATGCCTTGCTCGTGACACCAAGCAACAACCTGAGCCGCGAGGGCACAAAGAGGCGGAGAATTTCTCGGGGGACAAATGTGCACGGCAAGAACACCTTTTCTGGAAAGCACATCCCACATAAGCGATTGTTGTGATGCAACACGTAAGTCAAGCGGCAGCACAGGGCAAAGTGTGTGTCCAGTCACACGCGGAGCAATCCCCAAGCAATGCCCAAACCCTTGCTTTTTCATCGCTGCACAAACCCCACCAGTGCCACAGAAAAGTTCGACAAATTTGATGTCACGAAGGGTGCAACCTTGAAGCTTGGAAGTAGTTTTAGACAAGTCTGACTTCGGTTCCAGCAAGGTAGGAGGCCGGTTGGTCGACGTCTCATCATGCTCAGGCAGCTGAAAACCTTGGTCTTCCAGAACAGCAACATCTCCTTTGCAAAGACGCGTCACACCAGGCACGGAGAACGCCACCAAGACCAATCGGTTTCCAACCCAAGGCGCAGTCTCATGCTTCAACTTGTACGCTTCAAAGGTAACATGAGTGCCCGACACTGGCAACTTGCGAGCGCCGCCGACGGAGTCACCACCTGAGAAGCTGGCCGCACCACCTGGACTCTCGACAACGATTTCACCTCCAGTGAAATCAGAGATGCCTGCAACAAGGTTTGGCCTATGATCGTTGCGTGAATCAACATGCACATGCGTTCGCACGTTCAAGAAAAGGCTGATTGTTGTGAAGATGAAGCCCGGTTCGAGTGAGCGCACAAAGGAAGCAAGGAGTCTACAAACCTTGGGGTATTTCCGGCTGCCAACATGAAGCCCGAACAGCGGGCCTTGAGCGAATGCGCCACAAGTGAAAGCAGCTCCTTTCTCAGGCATTCCCCGCGGCGGGGCTTTGTGGGGCAGCAGGTCGAAAAGTGAAGCAATGTCATCCCGGGTGGGAACGTCACGAGAAGCAAGAATGTTGGAAGCCAAGGTTTCAGCCATCGGCCAAGCATCAGAAAAAGTCGAAGGCTCCACGTCGAAAGGCAAAACTGAGTCCATGATTTCAACAGGACGTGCATTATCTAAGGTTGGGGCATCCTGCTGGTCAAAGGTATGCAGGGCACCGGCGGGTTCGGGATTAGGGTCTCGAACTCGAGAGGCTTCCAAAGCCTCCCCAGTTTGCTGAAACCGGGGCCGCTTGCTCGCGGCCAACACAGGGGAGGAGCTCGACTGGCCCGGGCCCCTCCCCGTTGACAGTCACTCCTTGCAGTCCTGAACAGAGTGCGGCTTCCCGCACTTCATGCAGCAGTGAAGCCCTCTGCGGCAAGCCTTGCCAGGCTTTGCAAACTTGCATCCTTTCTTACAATTATACGGCCAACAGAACTTTTCGCCAGCCTCGGTGGTCATGTTCAATCCAGTGATGCCCTGCAGTTCACGCGGCAAAGCCCCGTCAGGCCTTGCATTCTTGTCGCTGTCGAGCTTCCGCTTTTCTCCTCTGCCCCCTTTCTCCCCCTTCCCCCCACGGCCTCGCCCAGTACCCTTGTCGGGTCGCTCATCAGCTCGCTTCTCATCGGCTTTTGGCGCAGGCTCACAAGGCAACGGAAGGAGGTTGAACAGAACAATGGGATCAGAGACCAATCCATCAAGAGCTTTGTCCAGCGGGAGTTCTCCTGAGGCATCACGTTTCAAGCTATGGACAGACTCCGCCATGCGAATCCAAGCCGCTCTGTCAGCGCGCAAGACCTGCTCAATCCCAGGCCGGCGGAAGCCGGGAGGTGCAGGTTGCTGCATCCGTTCAATCAGGAAACCGTGCCACGATTGCATCTTGCTGTAAGTGCACACCGACATCAGATCACAAGCCAAAGAACGTCTCTGCAGGGCCTGCGACAGACTGAGGGGATCCTGAATGGCGCACTTGTGCTTTTGAGACTGGTCCCTAACTGCAATCTTGTTTGCATCGAGCACGATCTCTTTCCCTGGCTTCTCTCGCGAGACCTCTGCAGCCCTGGTGTCAAAGCGATGAGGCTCCAGGTACAAAGGAGTGTCTTGTTCCACCATGCTGGCCACATAACCATAGCTTGCGAAGGAACACTCCAAGGGACCTGTCAGAGAGAGCCCTTGCAGCCTATTCTTCTGCGCAGCAATCCTGGCTGTCCGTTCTGCTGGCACCAACTCGCACTTTCTCTCATCTCCATCGACAGAAGCTTTCACGTGAGCAATGCACAGCGTCTGACACTCGAACATCAATCGTCTGACCGCTGATAGCGCACCTACAGGAACTGCACCCGGGTCGGAACGATCCACAAGCTTTCTGAGCTCGTCCTCACTCGGCTGAGTGCCCGGAGCCGTCACTGCAAACCCCATCAGAGAAATCGTCTTTATTCCAGCTGCGAAAAACTCAGCGATCACCTCCTGTGACAAGCCGCACTCCTCAGCTTTCGCCCTGAAGGCGGCCTCACTCTTCAGAATGGATGCCATGTTTGTGAGCAAGAAATGCCTTTACTCGTAGCAAAAGTTGTCGTGAAGATGAACATGTAGCACAAAATCAAACTGACATGACAAATGTCTCCGAACTGCAAGCTGCGATCATCACTGCATAGACAAGCAGTCGGCACAGGACAGCTGCCACAAAAGACACCGCACTGCCGTCACTCGCAAGATGGGCACGGAGCCATTTGCGCTGCGCAGAAGATTCGGGCCAGTGCACGAAGCAGGCCGAGGCGTCGGACTGAAGGCTCGGGTCAGTGCACGAAGCAGACCACAGAAACAGATAGCTTCGGGCCAATGCACGAAGCAGGCCGCGGAATATGAAGATAATTCAAGAGGCATTGCACAAAGCAGCCAAATCCGGGGTCCATCCATTGCACGGGGCAGGCATTGGAAGCCCATCAGGCCCCGCTGGTTCTGCGCCTCTTTGAGGCTGCATCCAGAGCGTGGCACAGAGCACCTACATCATTGATCGGCTTGCCTCGGTGACAGGATATGCACTTCATGGAAGCAACCATCACACCTCCAACAAACTCTCGATGCTTGTCATCTAGCAGTCGCCCACACACGAACTTGTTCGAGGAGCTGCCCCGCGGAAGTAGGTGCAGCTTCTTCGTCATGCGATTCTGGTACACAGAACATTCTGCCCCAACATCGGATCGGGAGCTGCTGGCCAAGGCTCCACAAGCTTGCACTTTCTCATCCAGAGACTCATCACTTGACGATTCACTCGAGGATGATGAGCCAGGTTCAAATGAATCTTCAGCAGCAGGATCTTCGTCAAAAACACCCAGTCCAATGGCATCATCAGGGGCATCCGAAAATGCGCCACCGTCATCATCAGCGAGCTGCTTGTACCACATCTCCTCAGACATGTTCTCAGAAGCATTAGGCAGCTCCCACTCCGCTTCGAGTCCAACTCGATCAGCGGTAGATTCGCCCACTTCTGAGACCACTGGGCTCGGCTCAGCTTGCCCCGACTCTCCGGGCTGATCCTGCGGCGCCAAGGAAATGATACCAAGAGGTTTCGGGTTCTTTGCGAACATTCCAGAACGACTCACATCTGGCAAGAACACTCCCAGTCTCACATCTGACAGCATAGCTTCCAACTTTCTCACAGGGGAAGATTGCTGGTCCCTCGCATACGTCAAAGCAGAGTTTCTGCCCACCAATACGTGATGTCCCAGCAAAGATTGATTGTCCAGATCCAAGCCAGCCTTTCCCATCCACTCAAGAAGCGTGTGCTTTGCAGTGTGGCCTGTAATGCGCTCACCACAGAAACTCGGCATCGTTCCCAAGATCTCAGCAATCCATGCGGTAAAGGTAGCAGTCTCAGCAGGGACGTCAGAAAAACCACCATGCACATCCGGCATATACAGCAAGGGTTCTCCGCTCGAAATTTTGTCCAGATCACGACCGCACTCTTTTGCGACCTGCACAAAGTCGCGACCCCAGCATCGGGGCCCAATGCCTTTTGCAGGAATCACAAGGTGCAACCGTAACCCCTGACGGTTGCTGGCCATGCTGCACTTGTGGGAAAGCGACACCACTTCCAGGTAACCACAAGAGTCGGCCTGGTTCTCAGTGAAGTCCAAAAGCACTCCTTCGATCACTCTAAGATCCCCCAACCTTGCGCGTCCGTATACAGCAGCGAGAAAACAGCCAATGCAAAATCTGTCAATTGCGCTGTAGTCGTGGGATGTTAGGGCATTCTCAAGATCCAGCAACTCGCAAACTTTGAGTGCCCGGGCCTGCTTCTTCGGGGGCCGATTCTTTCGTGCCTTACGAAGGATGCCCTGAACCACAGGTGCAAGACATGCTCTTGGATCCATGTCCACTCCAAGAACATGGTGGAGAAAATTCATGCTCTCAATCGCCCCAGTCAAAGCAGAGTGTCTCGCAGCCGACGTAGACAAATGCTGTAAGTATTCCTCAGCCACTTGCCCAGCTATTGGAAAAGCGACCATGTTTTCACCATTCGCCCAGGTCACAAATCGAGCAGCCTGCCCATATCTCTTTTTCAGGGTGCCGAGCGACTTGCCACCAAGAGCAAGCTCGATCTTGGCCAGCCTCTCTTCTCTGTCGAGGTCCTGAATTCTTCTTCCCAAAACTGAGGCCTCAAAGGAATGAGCAAGAATCAACTCAAAGCGTTGCGCCATCAGCGACAGTTGCTCCTCCGGAGTCGGATGCACTCGTCCCAGCTCTGTAGAAACAGCATGCCCAAGAAAAAGCTTCCGCGAATGATTGTGAGCGCCGGACACAGATTCGACCATAGGCGAACAGGTGCTGGCCTCTGCCTTTTCGATGGTTGCTCCAGGATCCGCAACCCTTTCAACCATAGGCAGAATCCTTCCATGCTCAGTTCCAAAAATTTCAGCGAAAACTCCAATCTCCCAAGGCAGCTGAAAAGACCCAGATCCTGAGTGTGTCAAAACAGCATCCAAAGTTGCACTGCGAACATTCGTCATGCTCCAGCTCAGTTATTGTTGCAAGCCTCGGAAAGAAAGTGAGCCAATCGGTAGCAGTACTCCATCAAGGAAAGAACATTGTATCCATGGCAAGACCAAAAACCCCCCGCTCCAAACAAAATTCCTCGAGAGGATTCGGAGTAAGGGGGAAAACCCACCTCCCACCCTGGGCCCAAAGATTGCCATGCATCTTCACTGTTCAACTGTGACATGAAGGCATGAAGCAAGTTGGGAAGAAATCAAAGTAAAACTCGCATGTTGAAATTACCAATGTAATTTCAAAACACGGCTTTTGAAAATAAAACTTCATCACCTTCGGTGAGTTCCGTCAGACGGGGGAAACGTTAGCCCCACGCAGTCGTTTGAAGCTCGAAGCGTAGCTTCCTGTTTTTCTGTCCCACCCTCCACTCCCTTTTATGCTAGTCGTACTAGCAAACGTAAGGGTTCACGTCTGTACTGATATCGCTTCAAAGAAGCTACTATCCTCGAGTAGTGTATGATCACTGGGGGGGTACGTTACCTCACGCCGGAGAAGTTCTGGCTCCCAGTGCATCAAGCTGCAGCGGCAGCCTGAACTGATCCCCGCCGTCATCTCCCGAAGAAAAGGTGTATGCGTTCCGGCAGTTATGCAATTAGGATAAGCTTCCGATAAAGCTGACTTGTTTACAAAGTCTTTGTCAGGGGCCCGTGTCCGCACTTTGAGCCACATCCTTGGGCTCCGTTGTTGGGACGACTGAGTTTGAGGAGCAGCAGCGCCGTGAGCAGGCAAAGAAGTTTCTTCGTGCTGTGAGGAGCACAGGTCGTGGAAATGCCGAGGCGTTGCAATTGCTTGCATTGCTGGTCCAGGTCATGGGCAACAAGGCTACGGATGTTGAAGTGCGAGCACAGTTTGTGCCTGACTCGCCAGTGTCAACTGACGAGGATTCGAGCCCGTGGATCAGCTTTGTCTTTGTCGTCGTGATAGCTGTTAGCAAGCTAATAGCTCTTTACAGATGTGTTTGATCGCTTCGATGCAGAAGCACCCGAGCAAAAAAAAAAAAGTGTGATCTTTTATCCTGCCAAATTCCTTACTCATGATTCTTCAGTGCGCGTGCAATTTCTTTCTGAGATGAGTTTCTAGTTTCACTCACGCTTTGATTTTCATGGGGCTTGAGTGACACTTGTGCATGCGCAAGTTGCAAGTGTGGCAACATGACATGTTGTGCAAATGTGGCAGCATAGTCTATATAGTCACAATGAACAGATGATGACACAGCAAAACACATTCGTGCAGTGTGTGCTGTGAACTTAGCTGCAATTCTGTTTCACCCACCCTCCCAACCCTGGGGGAGCCATATGTGGGCTTTGACTTGGCGTGTGCATGGACGCACGAATGTGATTATGTGACCGATGTGTGGGTCACGATGCGGATGCTTACCCCGACTCTACGTGAGAAAAAGAGACCGGATGGAATCTGCGATAATGAGAACAGTCGTTTACCATTCCAATGGGAATATCAATATATTTGCGAGGGTCAAACTATATCTGTAAAGCAACAGTGTGCATTGCGTTCCTGCTTGGCAGCGCCAGTGTCAACTTGAACTTTGCATCCCTTTTTGAGTGGTTTAGGTTTGAAGCAACAGAGGCTCAGCAGCCATTGCTAGCCGAAGCACCTGCTCTTGCAAAAAACCTTGATGTGCTTTCTGACGATAGCCATGAAAGTCTTGGTTCGCAGCATTACTCACCGCGAACTCGTGCAGAGATCCTCGGTCGGTCACCGCCTGTGACACCGTGTGAATCTGAACTTGAATCTGAGCTGGTGACGCCGCAGCTATAGATGTTCCAGCTATTCCTGTGATTCCAGCTGTGGTCAGACAGCTAACATGCAGCAGCCTGCATTGCTGCAGGATGATGACATCCTTCGGGTGAGGGAAGATGCTGTGGAATTCGCTTTCATCTTCTTGGTGAGTGCGATGGTCTTAGAAGGGCCCGTCAGGTTCGTAGACTGACGTATGGCCAGCTGCAGTTTGAGTTTCCTGGTCAGTATGACATGTGTTACTTGTGCCAGTTGTGGACTCGAGAGCTTGCACGTCGCCAGGACATTGCACGATTGGCCACCATGTACCACATTCTGCATGTGCGTGGCCAACAACTGCCAAATCCCATGCTTCAGATCCTTCCAGAGCCCGAGCCGCATGATGATACGTAAATGAGCCCAATCACGATGACCTGCATCTTTTCGTTGCATGTGTGCTTTAATGAAGCAGAATTAGATAGATGCAATTTCTTGAAATGCTCATGACGTCTCTTGTGGATGCAGTCGCTGGCTGGTACCACTGTACCTGAGCTTGTGTGCAAACTTTCTTGAGTTGCAGTGGAGTAAACTCAAATCTCTAAGAGATTGGCAAATTCTGCATGTGGCCGGTAACCTCTCCTTTGCACATCACAGCCGTGTGATGTTGAAAGTTCTTGCAGCTTGCGGAGCTGGCAAGCAAACTCACTTGGAGCCATGAGCTCACAAGGTGCCCAAAGGTCAAAGGTTAGGAGGTGCCTGTAGGCCTGTACAAAGCCCACCAAAATGGTGGCGGCCCTGGAGTGCGGTACGTCCGCCCTCGGTAGTAAAGGACAAACCGAGTGTTGCATTGCACTTGCTGAAGTGAGGCTTGTTGGCTGTTTCGCTCTGGGCATGTATAGCAGTAGCTCCCACCGAATCGTTCTGAAAGCCTGCTTTGCGTAGCACGGCAAATCATCCTTTGGCGGGGTGATCACGATTTCGATGTCATGCATGGGGACACTCAACCATGTATTTTCCTTGTGAAGATTTTATGTGGTGGGATAGTTTGTTGCCCAGAAGCTTTACGGTCATGTCTCATGTCATGTGCCGACGCAGCTGTGCTCGTGAGTCTCAAAAGTTTTCAAATGTACCGATGTAGGGAACAAGATTCAGGGATTGAGACGAAAACGCTCCGCGTGCGGATAAGTTTATATTTCCCTGTAAAACAAATTTATTTCATGAAAAAAAATTAGGGCATGTTCTTTTTCCATGCCTTGATTTTTAATTGTTTGGAGAAAGCAACCCTTCCAAGTAAGCAACGTGCACCATTTGTTGCGGGTCCTTTTCGGGCCCACAGGTTGCTTGCTTGCATTTTCCTTGCAACAGTGATGACATCTATGTGCATGTATTCGGCGATCTCAAGTGGGAGGTGTGGGTGGGGCCCCCGAGTTTTTGTGTAGAGATTTTTGTTCCGGGGGTAGAGCCTTGGATGGAGACAGGCCCTGCTGGGACTGCACAGAGTCTTGAGCAGGCACTCAGGGAGGTCAGAGAACTGACTGAGCAGTTTGAAAAAGGGATCTCCTTGAGGGGTTGGCGCATCTTCATTGTCGGGTCGACACCGTCCAGAGGCTTGCGTTAGATTGTGACCGTAGCTGCAAGCAGCTGAGTCTGAGTGTGGTTTTGCTTCAGCAACGTTTGAGACAGCTGGAAGATTCGACTTTCAGAGAGGTGACCGACAGTTTGCTTGAACAGCTGGACTGATGTTCCGGGGCTTCCAAAGCATTCTTGATCAGGTTGAGGCGCCCAGTGAAATCGACACCCTGTCCGAAGCTTGCACCGAAGGGACCAGTCACCCTTTGCCTGCCGACCTTGATGCGCGCATTGGAGGTTTAGACTCGGAGAGCGTCAACACGCATGAAGGGGACGTCAGCCCCAGCATAGTTCGAGCAGCCATCGAGGACGCCAGCTTTGCCCTGGGGAGCTGTGCTAGATGTCCAGCTGCCCTGGGAACTGCCTGGGTTGGATCTACTTTTCGGGAAGGATAGGTACAGTGTTGCAACGCCGGAGACGTTGCCAAAGTCGATCCCTGTTCCTGTTCCGACCTCACTCGCTGAAGCTGCGCTAGACCCAGATCCTGAGCAGAAAGCCAAGCGAGGCTGCGTCACCATGAGTTCCGTCACTTGCTACAGGCAAGTGATCAACTTCAACCTGGTTGAAGATGAAGACACCTTGGATGAGGTCCGCTGGACCCGAGCACTTGAAGTGTGAATCTCCATTGTGCTTGAGCCGTAGCCATTTTGGCTCAAGCCACACACCAAATCGTGCAGCTTTCAGTGCATCACTGGCTAGCTTTGTTTTTGAAGACTGTTACAGCACATCGCTTGCTAGCAACATAGAGCAAGACATTTGTTGCAACTCATATTTCATTACATTGCATTGCTACGTAATTCTTTTCCGCACTAGGCGGCGTGCAAGCGTTCCCGTGTGGACGCGGATGTCCTCCGGCTTCGGCTGGCTTCCTGTCGGGGATCACATCAGTGATCTTGAGAACCTGGCGTTACGTAAATTGCTCTGGACTTCAGTTTGGAACTTTTCAGATAAAGCCTCCCGGGTCCACGCTCAGCAATCGTGCTTCGACATTCACATTGGTTCCCGATCTCTTTACGGGTTGCACTCTGTTCTTGTTGATCGTGCAGATCAACTGTGGGCACTTCGTACCACTCCCAGAAGTCATTCCTGATTTTTCCTGATCTTTGAGTATGTCCACTGCCCCAGAAACGCATGCTGCAGCCTCGGCGTTTGACCTGATTGAACCGCACGTCGGTCAGCTTGCAGGCCAAGACACGTCGGCCTTTTCACCAGTCAGGGTCAAGCGTTACAGGAACAATCCTTTGGGCCCAGGGCGAGCCTCAGTCAGTGATCTGTTGGATGCCACTTCTATTCTTGACCACGCCGTTGAGGAGAGGCCGCCAGGTGAACGCTCCCCCTCACCTCGCTTACCGTTATACTCGCAGTCCCTTGATGTGTCTGCAACGCCCAAGTCATCATCCGCTTCTGGCTCTTGGTCAGTTGTTGCCACAGTGCAACCTTGTGCGACCCTGGATCGCCCCACATCCAAATCTCAACCTTTGCCGGCACCTTACCGGACTGTTTGCCCTAGGATTAGGCCCTCGGCTGCCTCGGTTCCTAGTGTAACCCCTTTGCCAGCTCCAACTAGGCTTATTATACATCGGGCACACCTGCCGTTGGAAGCACCTTTGCCTCCACCCAGCTATCAGCCTGCACGTGCATACTCCATCTATCCATCAGAAACTCGAGGCTCGCAAGCTTCATTTCAGGAAGGAGAGAAGTCTGTCTCAGAAACCGATTTTTCCCGGCTCTCCTCCTTTGTCCGCCCCTCTCCTAAGGGACCTGCAGCGTTAAAGCCTCGTGACCACACCCCAGTGCTTTGCCCTGACTCCGCTGCGATTGCCTCCAATTTGGGGGGTGTTGTTCTTCAGAGCACCTTGCACTCCGAGGCCTGGGATGCCATTTTACTGCTCTGGCGTTCACTGGTGGATATCATTGGCCCTTACAGTTCTGTGCTGCAGCAGCTCCAGGGATCGCCCAATGGTCCTGCTTTGACATTGAAGCTCCTACAGCTCAATGCAGACACAACCGCTTTGCGTTATGTCAAGGCGTGTCTGGCATACTTTGAATTTCTCGTTGACCTCGGACATTCCTTGGACAACCTCTCCCAACTCGCAGCAGTCGAAGCAGTATACGCTCTCCATTGCAGCCGTTCACAGGATGATGACCTAAAAACCGTGGCCCTGCATTTCCCAGACCTTTACTCAGGCCTGTTCAGAGCTTTGTCTGCCCAGCCATCCTCGGATCGTTCAGAAGCCATGCCGCTTCCTCTGGACTTTGTCGCTTTCCTTGAATCGCTGGTGCTCGACCTGTCCTCTGCTCCTGAGCTTGCTCTTTTTGCCGGCTCTGCATTAGCTTGTATATGGGCTTCGCTGCGCTTTGGGGACGCATCCCATGTTTCGTGGTCAGCTCTTTTGTTCGACCCCCAAGCATTAGTCATCCGTGGCCTTGCATACCGGACAAAAACCTCTCGGCGAGGCATGGCTTTTGCTTTCTATGCAGAGGGCATGTACGGCCCTTGGGGCATTCGCTGGCTCCAGCTTTTGGATTCGCTGTGGGGGTCCTTGGAACAACTTTCCCCCAATGTGGTGCCTGACTCCCTCTTCTTCTGCTCATCGCTCTTGGATGATGCCTGTGACTTTGTATTTTGCCCTGCATCGTATGCATCTGCCTTGCGTAGCCTGCGTTCAGCCTTGAATATGTGGGGCCGGCTAGGTTATGATGCATCCCGTAACTTTACTTTACATTCATGCAAGGCAACGGTCCTGTCTTGGTGTTCGCAACTTGGCCTTGGCGACATGGCACGCCGCGAACAGGGACATCATCGCACAACTTCGGTCACTCTTTACGGTCGGGATGACACGCATGCTGCCCTGGCACTTCAGGCCTCGATCCTTGGCAAGATTCGCACCGGTGTTTTCCGTCCCAGCATTTCCCAACATCGTGGAGCTCAGTCGCCGATATCAGAACCACAGCTTTTGGTTAGGGAAGGTCTTGCAACTTCAGGGTTGGATGTCCCTTTGCGTTTTCAGGGATTAGCCTCTGAACACAACGGCGCAAATCCTTTGCCAGTGGCAGCCCTTCCTCTTGTACCTAGCCAGCCAATTTCAACGATTGGTGCATCTCAGGCCGCATCCGTGTCTTTGGAGACGCCGCCAGCTTTAGGTCCTGGCCTTTTCATGGCTTCGGCTAAAACCGTACATAGGGCGGTCAACTGTGATGTTGCTTCGTCGCAAGTGTGCTGGCAAGGCAGGGCATATAAGACAGCTTGTGGGGCCGTTGTTCGCACTGAGTGGACAATACTTTTGGAGCTTCAGGACCAGGACGCTCCTGGGACACGCCGTGCGCTTTGCAAACGGCCCTCCTGTTTCGGCAGTGGCATCTGCCTTTGAGCCCGGACCATCTTTTTGCAGTAGGTGGCAGCAGAAAAGAGTTTCGATTTCGGAGAGAGTTGGCTTCACTCTGCCTTTCATGCTTTATGTGGATAGTCAGAGCTTGCCTCGGAGCTCCAGTGCTTAATCGCTTCGGCCCAGCTTTTGGCTCTTACCTCTGGGGGGGTAGATCGGGATTGCAGAGCTTTTTCCCTTGGCCTCGCACTCAGAGAGTCTGAACCGCTATGAGCGTCGGGTGTTGTAGCTACACAGCAGTCTCAGTGCTTTGCTTTTGCACTCTGAGCGTGTGCATCAACATTTTTCCTTTTCTTTTTACCCTCGGAGCTTTTGGCTTTGCTTTAGCCTGCCCATACTTTGGCACTGAGAGTGTCTTTTGCTTGGTGGCTCTGCCCACCCCCGCTTTTTGCTGGCAATGGCAAACACTGACATTTTCCTTGGCCTTGCAGATGATGATGTGAACAAGGCAGTGTCTTGGCTGGAGGATGCTCGTCACATGCCGTCTTCTAGTGGCTTTTCGCCATCAGAATGGCTGTGGCACTGGCTTGCGTCTACGCCAGCATTTTCGCCCCTGACGGAGGCTGCTGGGAACATGGACACGGTCTTCGGCTTTGGCTCTGGAGATTGGGCTTTTCATTGGGTCGAAGAGATGGAAAAAGCCACCCGGAACCCGGGTGCCGCAGCATCCCAAGCCGCACCTGCGCAGGCTGCTTCGGACAGCAAGTGGCCACATTTTCCTAATGGCCACCGCTCCCTTGGACTTGCTCCTGCAGATCTCGTCCGAGCCCACTCGTGGTTGGAAGAGGCGGCTTCCTTTAACGGGGCCGGTGGCTGGGAGGAGGACGATTGGCTTCGCTACTGGATGGAGCAGGACTCGGCTTTTGAGACCTTGCTTCAGCGTGCCAAGGAGGCTAACCATGGCTGGAACATTGGCCAATGGCTTTGGCTTTGGGTGTCGCAAGCTGACCGACCCCATCCGCCACCGGCACCCCCTTTGGGCACTGCGCCCCCTTTGGCCACCGGCCTGGGGTCGGATGCGTTCCCGCTTAGCCAAATCAACGAGACAGTGACCGTCACTCAGATTTACTGCCGCTCCACATGTCAAGACTGCGGTGCTGGCCATTGCGGGGTCGTTCTTACGCGCGAAGATCTCCCTCATCGGCACCGCTGTGGCATTTGCTATAAAGCTTTTAGGAGGGCACAGGGGCAAGCCTGAGAGAGTGCTTACCCCAGCTTTTGGCTTTTAGTTGCCCCTCCTCCACTTCGGCTTTATCTGTTTTGCAGGGCAGTACATAGAGTGCTTTTGGCTTTGTCTCGCCGCATTTTCCCTCATGAGCTTTAAGCTTGTTGGGGGCGATTGGCATCGGAGCTTGCCAGCGAAAATCAGAGCTTCAGTGCTTTTTCTGAGCTTCCTTTGCTTTCCGCATGCAGTGCTTCTCTTTATACATGCTCTCATGCCCAGGTCTGGCTGTGGACGCTCCTCACATTTTTCCAGGCGCACTTCTCAGAGTCGTTCTTTTGTCCTTTCTCTGATTGGCTGGTGACCGGGCTTTAAGAATTGTGCGTGCGGCAAGTGCTGCCCCTTTTTCTTTTCCTTTTGCAACATGGGCATGGCATTGTGCGTTTACATCCATGCCGTGCTTGTTTGCCAGTGCTGCACTCGGGCTCGCACAGGTTCCATGGCCGACCCGGGGAGTGACACTGGGAGAGGCCTACTAGCACAGCCGACCCCCTCAGACAAGCTCTCAGTGCTTTGGGAATCCCTTAGCCTCGATTTCCCTGAAGCCGTTGTGTCACATTCGGAGTTGAACCGCACCGTTCGTAACTTTGGGTTTTTGGCCACCTCCTTTGACCAATTGGATCAGTGGTTGGAGTCGCACGGTCTTCTGGATTTTGGCTCTGAAACAGTCGCGGACCTCCGCTGTCTCTGGCACAGGGCGCATTCCTTGGCCTGTTCGGAGGGAAACATGGCATCGTGCCTTTCCCACCGCAACCCTCTGCTCTGTCTTTGCCACAGGAACAATCCTTCAGCGCAGCTTCAGACCCTGGTCACCTCACCTCAGGTGCTGCTTCGTGGAACGAGCCTTTTCCGGCTAAGCTCTCCTCTGACAAAACGGCAGAGCTCCGGGCCGCTTTCTTGCGGAAGTACCCTAGCGAGGTCTTAGACGACTCCACTAGGCCTTCGGCTCGTCTCCTTGCTTTGGCTTTCAAACAAGCCTCGTCCCACGAGTGGCGCTTCATCCCTTGGCGTTGGCGCATGTCCGTGCTTGAGCTTGAAGAACAGCAGTTGCAGCGCCCTCGCAAGCTAGCCAGGACGGAGCTGGCAGATCTCATTTTGGATGATGTCCCCTCTCGGAACCTCCCGGACACACTGGGCATGTTTGCATTGAGCAAAATTTTGCGTTTGCACAGTGTGGCGATGGCTATGGTCACTGATGTGCACTTGGTGACGCTTAAGAAGTACGAGTCTACCTTTCTGCGTTTTGCTTCGGCTCGTTTTGACAACAGCAGTGGTCTTCGCCCACCCAATGCACTGGAGTGTGAGCAGGCAGACCGCCGATTCTGGGAGGCCGTGTCCGAGCTCCGTTTGCAGGGTTGGTCTTTGGATGACTGCATCCATGAGAACACAGCCGTCCGTAGCGAGTTGGCTTCTCTTTTGGCACCGCGTGTTTTCCTGCCCAAGGCCATGCGCCGCCCGGAGGGCAAGGGAGCAGGCGGAGGAAAGGGCAATGGCCCCGGGGCTGGTTTTGGCAACGGACGCGGACGCGGCAAAGGCAGGGGGGATGGTAGAGGTCGTGGGAGTGGCCTTGGCACCGGTCGTGGGGGATCCGGTCTGGGCAACCAAGGCAACTCCGGCGGGTCCTCCACAAACCGACAGGAGTGGGCATCCTCCGCAAAAATCAACGGAGAAGTCAAGACCCTTTGCATGCGCTGGAGTCAGCGCACGGGCTGTAAAAACCCGTCGTGCCGCTTTGAACACCTTTGTCCCGTGAAGCTTCCCAGTGGCAAGGTTTGTCTTGGCAACCATCCGGCCTGGCAACATACCGACACCCCGCATTGAGGGGGACCGGACCCACCTTTCGAGCAGGCAGCTGGGTCCGGTCTGCCTTTGTTCACGCCTGCCATTTTGCCTTTGTCTTCCCAGAGCTCTTCCACTCCGGCAACCGCTGCTCCGGCAAAGCAGGCATCCGGGCCTCCAATGCCCGATCTTCCTCACGAGGTGGTTTTGGCTGGGCCTGTTTCCGACACTTCATCCCCAGGGACCCCACCACCCCAGCCCATAAATCCCGAAGATGACCTGTCGGCCCCGGACAGCTCCGGCCCAGCGCTAGCTCCTGCACCGGCCTTGGCAGAGTCTATGCCAGGGCTGTTTCCGCCTGCCTCCTCACATGTCACCTCTGTCCTACAGTCCGTTCGGGATTTCAAGCAACCCTTCTTCCTGGACATTTGCGCGGGAGCGGGCTCGCCGCTCAGTTCAGCTTTCCTGGAGAAGGGGGTGCCATGTCTGTCAATAGACATTCTCATCGACACAAACATGGATCTTCTCCAGGACGATTTCTTTGAACATTTACTGCGCATTTGCACGTCCCGCCAGGTTGCCCTTGCGCACGCTGCCCCTCCATGCAGGGAGCACTCTCGCCTGAAACTCCTTCCTAGAGGCCCAAAAGCGCTTCGGACTCCGGCTTTCCTGAATGGGCTCCCCGACCTGTCGGCATCACAGGCTCTTAGAGTCCAGGAGAGTCACTTGATCTTTGAGCGTTGCGTTCAGCTCTTGCATGTCAGCTTTTCCTGCGGCGCGCAGGTGTCGCTCGAACAGCCGCCCAACAGCATGGCCTGGATGGAGCCGATTGCAACCAATTTCTTGGCATCCATCAGTGCGGATCTGGTCCACGTGGCCGCTTGTTCCGTCAATCTCAACATGCACAAAGCTTGGCTTTTCGCCACTTCATTCAGAGCCTTTCAGGCCTTCGCCTCTACATGTCCACACACCGAGGGGACCCACGTGGCCTTACAGGGTTTGCGTGATGAGGCTGGCATCTTTTGCAGTCGGGCATCTGCAGAGTACCCCCCCCGTTTGGCAGACATGTATGCTCAGCAAGCCCTGCCTCTCTTCGACCTTGAGCAAGGGGTAGGTACTGCCCTTTCTCTCGCCACGGTACCTCTGCTTGCCAAACCCAAGGACCTTCATGAGGCTCCAGTGGCTTCGCAGGATGGGGCCGGCATCCTTTCCACGCCAGACTGGAGTGCACCACCTTCAGGAGCTACAGACGTCTTTGCGCGCCTTAGGCCTAAGCTGATGACCTTTCTCCTTCAGGGTCGTTTTCCTCAGCGTTTGCGCACTTTGGTTTTGGGGGGATCCGCGGAGGCTCTTTTCTCAACCTCGGAGGTAGACGCCCTTCGTCGCCTCTTCCAGGAGTGGCTGTCGGCTTATTTCCCTGGCATAACCGTTTCCTGGGAAATCTCGGCAGGGCAACCATACTGCCTTCAGGCGCTGGCAGCTGTCTCACGCATTTGCCAAGATCGAGACGTTTCCCTGTTCACCTGTCTGGAACAGGGAGTGCCCACTGGCTTTGACGGGGACATCCCGTTGTCCAACATTTTCTTGCCACAAGGAGGGGGCCATCCTTTCGAGCAATCACTCGGCATTTGTCATGGCAATTGGTCGAGTGCTGAAGCGGACCTTCCAACCCTGCATGCCTTAGTGGAGGAGGAGATCGCGAATGGCTGGTTCTTGGAGCTGGATTCTTTGGAAGCGGCTCAAGAGCGTTTTGGTGACAAACTGGCAATTGGAAGGATGTCTATCGTCAAAGCTGCGTCTTGTGGTGGATTCCACTGTGTGTGGCACTAACCCGTCCTGCACGATCCCCGAGACGTACACACTTCCGGGTGTTGACGATGTCAGGGATTCTTTCCCTTTGCGTTGTCACTCTGGCCTGTGCGCGGGGTTTGCTTTTGACATCAAGTCAGCTCACAAAACGGTTCGAGTTCGCGACTCTGATCAGGGACTTCTTGGGGTCTCCCTCCCTAAGATTCCAGGTCCCGGCCGTCGTTGGCTTTTTTACCGCGTTTGTCCCTTTGGAGCAAACTTCTCGGCCCTCTGGTTCCAGCGCCTTGGAAGCTTTTTCCTTCGCACTTTACACCTTTGGACTTGGCTTCGACACGCCCTGCTGGGCTACGTGGACGACTTTATGTTGTTTCAGGACCAGGAGGTCATTGGCCTTACAGCGTGCATGACACTGGCCTTTTGTGCTCTGTTCAACATACCGCTGTCCAACGCTAAGTTACAGCTTGGCAGCGGTATCCACTGGATAGGCTGGTACTTTTCCTTCGGTTCTGGCACTTTCTCTATTCCGGTTGAAAAAGTCCAGAAGTTGAAGCGCCTGTTGCAGGAAGCTTTACAGGGTCGCCATGTCTCGAAACGGACCCTGGACAAGGTCACCGGGTTGCTGCAGTGGTTTTGCAAGCTGTACAAACATTTCAAGCCCTGGTTGCAGACCCTATATGCTGATGCGAACCGTCCATTGGCCACCAACTACAGCATTGACCCTGGCGATTGGCCCGGCTTGGCCATCTGCGTTAACGAAGGGCTTATCTTCACCTCCACACCGCCGGGCACAAGCATTCCGACAGGCTCTAAGCTCATCGAAGCCAGGCATTTGGCCCTGCAGTCTAAGAAAGACCTTGTGAAAATTCCCACCTCCAAACGCATTTGGATGAGGGTGACGGACCCCTCCACCACTCGCCGCAAGCTTTCTGTTTCCAGCCGTGAGAGCCTTCAGTTTTGGCTTAAGTGGTGCGAGGTTCCGCCCCTTTTCTTTCCTTTGCAGAAACCTGCGGACGTTCCCATCGTCTGCGCCGCCGCCGATGCACGCGCAGATGGGGATCTCGTCGGGATAGGGGGATTTATCGAATGGCCTTCACGCCAGATTTCGTGGTTCAGCCAGTCCTGGCGTGTGCCGGACCTTTCGTCACTGGGTGTGCCTTTGCAGGTGCCAGCTCACCAAGACATCACATGCTATGAGACATTGGCACAGCTTGGCCTCATTCTTTGTCTCCATTCCGTGGTGCCCTTGGCACGCTGGACCGTCCGTCTTCGCACTTTGTCCGATAACACAGGTGCAGAGGCAGGCGTCAACAAGCTATACAGCTCGGCCTTTCCTTTGTCGGTCTTTCTGAAACGGCTGTCGATGTTGGCGTGCATGACTGGCATTGAGCTCGACGTCTTCCACATACCCGGCGAAAAGAACGACGATGCAGATCTGCTTTCCCGCTGAAGTGATGAATCCCAGCCTTTGCCAGTCAAGTTTCTTCCGGACTTTCGTGTGGACTGCAGTCTGGCGCGCATCTGGCATTTTCGCTCTGATGTGCGCCTGTGGCCTCCCGATGCAAAGCTCAAATGGCAGCCGCCATAATCACTCTCCTGAGCTTCGCTGCTGATAGCCTGGCATAGTCTGCGCTCACTTAGAAATGGGGTAGGTAGGCCCGGCGAGCTTTGACTTTGCCAGTTTGAAAGTTGGTCATTAGTGCTTCAGTCTTGTTACGCATCATCTGCTTTGCGTTGTGCTTTGAAATCTGAGCTGCATTTCCGGCAAAGTCAAAAAGAGAGAGGGCTCGTGGTACAGTGCTCGCTGTGGCGTAGGATTTCTTGTAGGCTAGTGTTAGCTTTGGTAGTGTGGCTTGAACTTGCAGCGAACGGGTCATGTGTTTACTCATAGCTGTTTGCTGTTGTGAAAGATCACCGTTCTTGGTTGCTTTTGGTTCAAGCCACACACCAAATCGTGCAGCTTTCAG